GAAAATTTTAACGATTAAATGATTAAATGCTAGTTGCGCATGTATGTAAGCATTTGGGCTGAACTGGCCATAGCCCCTTGTTACCGGTCGTCTCGAGCCAGAAACGGTCTCGGTCGGGCGATTAGGCACTTGGGTGCACGTTTGGTATACTCGAGTATTACCTATGTAGGTTGGTGGAGGTTGGTGAATGAATGAAATGAATGACCCTGAGCGAGGAAATGTCAGGAGAACGAATGTATCCTTTCCATGAATGTTACTATCGTTTTCCGTTGTACATGTTTCTTGAAATAATGATACTCCATATTTACTGTTTTGCAAACGTTATAAATGTTTTGACTTAACGTTTGATTTATGACATCATTGATTTATGGTATCATTAAAATGAATTATTGTGAAACTGATTCGATAACTGATTTTATTGGTTACTCGCTGAGCATCTAGCTCACCCCAAAACTATTTTCCCCCCCTCGCAGGGCTCAAGGCGAAAAAAAGGCTTGTAGTGCGTATTCCTGCGAATGGATGGATTATCTTGTGTATGGTTCGAAATTGGATTGCCTCTTGTGTAATAGATTAATATTAGGGATTGTATTGAACGTTTGGAATTGATTGGATGTGTAATAGTCTAGTTTTGGACTTCCTCCTGTATAATAATTGTGATTAAGGATCAGAGTGGCGCAGCGGATGCGTGGACGCTTCGCTTTTGACATGTAATTATTGGTTAATTTGATGTATATTTGAGTTTTATATTGTAATTTATTTGAGGATTGTAGTGATCGACTGAGTCCCGGCGAGAGCTGGGCAGGCGCCCCCGCCGAACCCTCTGGTTCGCCTTAGGGGAGATGGGGCCGTTACAGCTGGTATCAGAGCTTAGGCTTCAGATCTCTGTAATGTATCCTAAGCTTAAAGTTTAGGATGCCGGAATGTGGGTCTAGTTTGCAATGTAAGTGATTCCTTGTAGGAATGAAAATCGGACAAGTGGGATTGGAATAATTATTCGTGCTTGCTTGGAATTGATTGGATGTGTAATAGTCTAGTTTTGGACTTCCTCCTGTATAATAATTGTGATTAAGGATCAGAGTGGCGCAGCGGATGAGTGGACGCTTCGCTTTTGACATGTAATTATTGGTTAATTTGATGTATATTTGAGTTTTATATTGTAATTTATTTGAGGATGAGTCCCGGCGAGAGCTGGGCAGGCGGCCCGCCGAACCCTCTGGTTCGCCTTAGGGGGAGGTGGGGCTGTTACACGCGCGACCGTGGGCAGCGGCGGTGCACGATGCTACGGACGGCGGCGGGCAATGGGTCTGCTGTGGTGGAGACTGCGCGCGCGGAGGTAGAGGGCAGCAGCTCGCAGGTGAGGAGGAGATAGGACGTGCGAGGTGGAATCGATGTCGACTGAGGGGCGGCGGAGCTAAGCTCGTGGAGGCGGCACGCGATGGAGCTTCGGTCGAACAGAAGGAAGGAAACAGCGGTAGGAGAAGAAAGGAGGAAAAGAGAAAGAAAGAAGGAGAAGAAGAAAAGAAAAAAGAAAGAAAAGAAAAGAAGGAAAAAGAAAAAGAAAAAAAGATTTTTTTCTTTTTTTTTGAAATATTTAAGCTACGGTGAAAAGGAAATTTTTTGTTTTTGTTTTGTTTCGTTTTTTTATATATATATTATTTTTTTATTTTTGTACTAATTAAAAATTATTTTTTTTATTTTTTTTATTATTACAAAACTCAACTCTGAAATTCAAAATTAGAGACTAACAGGGAATCACTAACCGGTCTTGAGTTTTTCTTTTCAATGCTTGCTTTTCCCGCGAAGGCGACGTGGGCACGTGACGAAAGCACGGAATGAGGAGCTCTCCGGGTGACTTGACGCGGGCACGTTATGAGGGCAAAAACTCCTTCTGACGATTCTAACCATGAGCTCTTCGTATGTCATGACGCGGGCACGTCATGACAGAAGGACATCTACAAATCATCAAAACGAAAATGGAAATCAGAAATCATTCAAATTCAAGGAAAACATATGTAAACTATCACACGAAATCAAACAAACAATTAAAAGCAACAATTGGGTTGCCTCCCAATGAGCGCCTTTCTTTAACGTCTTTAGTTAGACATGGCAAAGTGCTACAAAGTGGGACACGGTGGTGCATCTATACTCATCGTCTCCACTTCTCCACTTGAAAAACTTTTGTAATAATGTTTGAGACGGTGTCCATTCACCACAAACTTGTTGTCTGTCTTGGCACTCTGGATTTCAACTGCACCATATGGAAACGCGTGAGTAACAATAAAAGGTCCAATCCAACGGGAACATAGCTTACCTGGGAATAGCTTGAGCCTAGATTGGTGCAGGAGGACCTTCTGACCAATTTCAAAGGTTTTTCTAGAGATTTGTTGGTCATGAAATGCCCGACTCTTCTTCTTGTAATTAGTGCATTTTCGTAGGCTTCGTTGCGGATCTCCTCCAATTCTTGCAAATCCAACTTCCGTTGAGCACCGGCATCTTCTAGATTTATGTTACACTGTTTAATGGCTAAAAAAACCTTGTGCTCAAACTCCACTGGAAGATGACACGGATTCCCAAATACCAACCTGTACGGTGACATCCCTATAGGGGTCTTGTATTCCGTCCGATAGGCCCAAAGTGCATCTTCCAACCGTTGACACCAATCCTTCCTATCGGGTCGCACCATTTTCTCCAAAATAGACTTAATTTTCCTATTTGATACCTCTGCTTGACTATTAGTCTGCGGGTGGTACGACGTCGAGATCCTGTGAAGTACGCCATACTTGCGAAACAACGCGGCTATGATTTTGTTGCAGAAATGCATCCCCCTGTCACTGACAATGGCCTTTGCCATTTCAAAAAGTACAAAAATATTAGACCTAATAAAATCTGTAACCACTTTTGAATCATTAGTCCGGGTGGCCTTAGCCTCCACCCATTTAGACACGTAATCGACTGCCAACAAATATACACAAAACCAAATGAGGTAGGAAAGGACCCCATGAAATCGATACCCTACACATCGAAAATTTCAACAAAAATCAACAGAACTTGGGGTATATGATCTCTACGGGCTATATTACCTACCCTTTGATAGCGATCACACGACTTACAAAACACATATGCATCTTTAAACAAAGAAGACCAGTAAAACCCACTTTCCAATACCTTATGAGTCGTTCTCTTGGGTCCAAAATGACCTCCACAGGCAAAAGTATGACAGAAAGTTAAAATTGATTGAAATTCAGCCTCACTTACAAATCGCCTCATCACCTGATCAGCACATCTCTTCCATAAGTACCGGTCATCCCAGATGAAATACTTGGTGTCGCTCTTCAATTTATCCCTCTTCGATTTCGGCCAACCTGAAGGGAAATTACCCGTTACTAAATAATTAACTAAATCCGCATACCAAGGCAATTGAGAATTTAAAGAAAATAGATGCTCTTCAGGGAATGCATCCTTCAATGGTTCGTTCTTCTCTCCTACTGGTATGCGATTCAAGTGGTCGGCAACTAGATTCTCTGAGGCCCTTTTATCCCTTATCTCCAAGTCAAATTCCTGTAGGAGCAATATCCATCTGATAAGTCTCGATTTTGCATTTTTCTTAGTCATTAGGTACCTTAATGATGTATGATCAGAAAATACAATTACTTTAGCACCTATCAAATATGACCTGAATTTTTTTCAAGCAAAAATAACCGTAAGAAACTCCTTCTCAGTAGTGGAGTAATTCAATTGGGCCCCATTCAGGGTTCGGGATGCATAGTAGATGACGTGAGCTGCCTTTCATACTATTTGCCCCAATATAGCCCTTACAGCATAATCACTGGTATCGCACATAATCTCAAATGGCAAACTCCAATCGGGGGGCTGGATGATCGGGGGTACGGTCAATAGCTCTTTCAACTTGTCGAAAGTTTTCTCACTCTTGTCATCGAATTCAAAGGTCACATCTTTTTGTAAAAGTTAGAATAACGGGGTTTCAATTTTTGAAAAATTCTTGATGAACCTTCGGTAAAAACCTGCATGTCCACGCACCTCCCGCACACTCGCGGGGTAAGATAAGTCAGATATGATGTCTATTTTAGCCCTATCGATCTCAATACCTTTAGAAGATACGATATCCCAACTATCCCATGTTCAACCATAAAATGACATTTTTTTCAATTAAACACGAGATTAGTCTCTATACATCTTAACAAGATCAATCTCAGATTATCTAGACATGTATCCCAAAACTATCCCATGTTCAACCATAAAATGACATTTTTTCCAATTAAACACGAGATTAGTCTCTATACATCTTAACAAGATCAATCTCAGGTTATCTAGACATGTATCAAAACTATCACCATACACACTGAAGTCGTCCATAAAAATCTCAATTATTTTCTCTATATATTCAGAGAAAATGCTTACCATACACCTCTGAAATGTTGCAGGTACATTGCACAACCCGAAGGGCATTCGTCTATAAGCAAAGGTCCTGAACGGGCATGTGAAGGTCGTCTTCCCTTGATCCTCTGGTGCAATTGTTATCTGAAAATATCCTGAAAATCCATCCAAAAAAAAATAGTAAGCTCTACAAGTCAAACGTTCAACTATTTGGTCAATGAAAGGGAGGGGGAAATGGTCTTTTTTGGTGACGGCGTTCAACCTACGGTAGTCAATACACTGCCTCCATCTAGTGGGTTTGCGCACTGGCACGAACTCACCCGTTTGATTAGCCTCTACCGTCATTCCTGCCTTCTTTGGGACTACCTGGACCGGACTCACCCAAGGGCTATCTGATATCGCAAAGATGATCCCCACATCTAACAGTTTCAAAATTTCTTTTTTCACCACTTCCATCATGAGGGGATTGAGCCTCCTTTAAACCTATCGTACAGGTTTGGCATCCTCTTCAAGTCTAATTCGGTGCATACAGATGGAGGGGCTGATCCCCTTGATGTCTGCGATGGTCCAACCAATCACCTCTTTATGCTCTCTAAGGACTCGGATCAACTTCTTCTCTTGAGTTTTCGAGAGTGCAGTTGAGATAATATTTGAAATGTTTCATTGTCGTCCAGATACGCATATTTCAAATGCTCCAGTAGGGGTTCCAACTCCAATACGGGTGCCTGCACCACCGATGGTAATACCCTTTGATGAGATTCGAGAATGAATATAGGTGAAATTTCGTACCTTTTTGTGGAGGTTGGCAATGAGTGTAATGCCCCTATTGTGCATTTCAGATCTTCACTCCACTCTATCTCAGGAATTGTTTCCAACTCGAGATGCTTGGTTAAAGCAACTTCCAATTCATCCCTGCAAACAGTTTCAAACACTTCCCGTACCGCAGGGTCAACAGCACTCACAGAAAAAATAGAATTAAAGTTAGAGTTTGAGGGATATTTCATAGTATCAAAGATATTAAAATGCACAATCTCCCCATCAAACTTCATGGACAACGTACCCCTATTAACATCAATTTTTGTTTGTGCTGTACTCATAAAGGGTCTACCTAATAACAAAGGTGAGGGATCGGGTGAGTGATCATCATCTATATCAAGTACATAAAAATCAGTTGGAAACACCAAATCAATAACTTTTACCAACACATTTTCAACCAATCCATCAGGATATGCATTAGTTCGGTCAGCTAATTGAATGATTATCCCAATTTCTTTTAATGAACCTAGTTTTAGAGAAGCATAGATAGATTTAAGCATGACATTAATTGATGCTCCCAGATCCAACATGGCCCGTCTAATCACAGTGTTGCCTATCCTACAGGGAATAGTAAACATACTTGGGTCCTTGCACTTTGATGGAAGCTTTCTTTGCAGGACTGTAGACACATTTTCCCCAACAATGACCCTTTCATTTCCCTCAATCGCCTTCGGTTGACACACAAGTCCCTTAGAAACTTGGCATATTTCGGTACTTGTTTGATTGCGTCTAAGAGGGGTATATTAATCTCTACTTTGCGGAACACTTCCAGGATCTCCTTCTCCTTATCCTGCTTCTTCGATTTTTCCAACCTGTTAGGGAAAGGAGGCGGGTTAGTTTTAACTGTAATTATTGGGTTTGGAAGTACCTTTGGATTTGCACCATTGCTGTCCTCCCTCTCAAGCTCATTTTCGATTTTTTCTTCATCCTTGTCCTTAGGGATCACAGGCTCAGGCCCCTGAATTTCCTTTCCGTTCCTTAGGGTCATCGTGCTTACATTCTTCGGGTTCAATTCAAGTTGAGACGGCAATTTACCTTGCACTTGGGACTCCAAGCGGTTGATTGTTTTGGCCATTTAATTCATCTGATTTCTTATGTCCTGCATTTCGGAGTCCGCCTTTTGTTGATTAGCAAGTAGTTGCTTCATCATCTCCTCCATAGACGGACTTGAATTCGAAGGAGGTGGTGGTGGCCGAGGGTGGTACTGTTGTTGATGCCCTTGCTGTCTGTTCGGTACAAAGTTGGACTGCCTATTTCCTCAATAACTGAAATTCGGATGGTCCTTCTAGCCGGGATTGTACGTATTCGAGTACAGGTCATAGGGCCTTCTTGGCGCGGGCGCGTGACCAGCCATGTTTACTTGCTCTGCACTTTCTTCTTGAATCACTGGGCACATATCTGTAGAATAACCCATACCAGTACAAATCCCACACACCTTGGCCTGAGATGCATTTCCTACAACCAGTTGCCTAACAAACGAGGTCAACTCAGTTAGCTGCTGCTGGATAGAGGATGTCTCTACCTCATTCACCTTGTGTATTGGGATATCCTCTCTCGTACCGAATTGTTGTGAATTCTCTGACATCCCCTCAATTAACTCCCATGCTTCCCGAGGGGTTTTGTTCACCAATACTCCTCCACTTGTAGCATCAATTATGCTCCTGTCTCTGAAAAGAAATCCTTCATAAAAATACTGTATGAGCAACTGCTCACTTATTTGGTGTTGGGGGCATTTGATGCACAATTTCTTGAATCGCTCCCAATACTCATAAAGCGACTCCCCTGGGTGCTGTTTGATACCACAAATCTCCTTTCTTAGACTTGCAGCTCGAGACGCGGGTAAATACTTATCTAAGAATTTTTTCTTTAACTGATCCCACGTGGTGATACTACCTGGTGGTAGGTAGTTCAACCAGTCTTTTGCAGAATCTTTCAAGGAGAAAGGAAATGCCCTTATTTTTACCTGCTCTTCTGTGATTTCCGAGGGCTTCATACTATTGCACACGACATCAAACTCCTGCAGATGTTTATACGGCTCTTCACCTGATAAACCATGAAAAGAAGGTAGAAGATGAATTAGACCATATTTTTACTCAAATAGAACGTTATCATTTAAAGTGGGAAAAGTAATGCATAAAGGCTGCTGATTTAAATCAGGTGCAGCCAACTCCCTTAATGTTCGTGAATCAGCCATGGTGCCTTCCTCCTAGTCAGAGTCACTCGAAGTGTCACCAAACGAATCTGTTGGTTCAACTTCCGACTCAGGTCTCAGAGATGCAGCACTGGAGTGCTCCTCTCTGAGTTGTCTGGTCTCTTTTCTTGTCTTACGTGCGATTTTCTCTACCTCGGGGTCGAAAATTAATTCACCTGTATGAAAAGAACGAGGCATACACTTGAAAAGCACCAGAAAGTTAGATAAAAAATGAATTTAAAAAGAAACAAATAATAACGCCAGTCCCCGGCAACGATGCCAAAAATTGACAGGATGTCGAAATCTGTACAATAATAAAATTAAACCTAATTGCCAGTTAAAATGATCAAAACCCAATTCCAAGTACTGGAGCAGGGACTTTAGGTGTGCAATGGGTTACTTGATTCACCCTGTTCCCGAAGAGTTTGCTTGATCCGATATACTCGAATGGGATGATTTTTCTTTTTTTCACAAATAATTATGAATTTGTAAACAAGACAAGTAGGGTCGTATTCTCAGGGATTGAGTATATTTGTCTCTTAAGAAATCCAAAGTAACATAGGGGATGATTTTGTAGGAAGGACGATAATCAGATAAATTCAAATAAGAAAATAAAAATAAATAACTAACTAGAAATTAAACAACCATTCACTGAACTTAGAGTAACAATAATTAAAGGGCTAAATCAATTAAAACAAGAAACAATTAAGAATAAAATAAAGTAAGCAACTAAAGGTCAAATGGCAATTCATTAAAATCAAGGTAATATTAATTAAAGATCTAGCCAAGGAATAACTTCAGCATTGGTTCACCTAATTGATCATCGATGCACAAGCACTTCCAATTATTTATTAATAAATAGGTTATAACTGCCAAACAAGTGATGACAGTCAACCCCTCCTTACTGTGTCGGTGATTAAGGTACGCCCGTTAATCACTGTTCTAATTGAGAAATAATCCTAAGTACACCCATAAGATTTAATTCCCCAATTGCCTTACGTGTTAGAGGAGCCCTATTCCAATCAAATAACGCACTACCAGGGCTGTTTCAGATTAGTTCGCATATCCCCCTGACACAAATCTAGTTATGCCAGTTATCACTAGTTTAAGACAATTAAACAATTACGAATTTAATGCCCTAACTGACAATAGATTATCAAATTAACTAAGTATCAGCATCCAAAACAATCAATTAATTGAACAATCATAAGCACTGCAATCAAGGAATATGCGAATACCAATAAATAAAAGGAAAAGATAAAATTAAACCGATCTCACAATTTTTAGGCGAATCAAAGCTTTCATTGTCCCTTGACTAGAGTTGAAAAATTAGTTCATATTTGATGAACAAAACCCACAGAAAATCGCAGAGAAAGTTGCGGCCATTGTCCTTCGAAATTAGAAGAGTCCAATTCGTCCAAATGTTTGAAAAGATAGCAAAGCTACAGCAACTAATTCCATGGTTTCTACTTGTCCAGGCGTACGAAGAGAAGACTACGCCAGGAAGGAAAATGGAAAAGTCAAAGTTGTTTAATTTCCTCTGACATGCATAGGAGAGGTCCTAACCAAAAGTCTAAAAGGAAAAATCTAATGCTAAACTAAAGCTCTTCATCGTTTCTCCTCACAACCGTGGAGAATGACTACTAAAGGCCAAGAAGAAAAGTCAAAAGTGAGGCTAAGCTCCGGGAGGCCAAAATCCTCTGCCTCTTTTTCTCCTTTTTTCATCTCTTCCTCAATCTCCGTGCGGCAGCTCCCATTTTCTCCGGAGGAAGACTTCGGCCAAATGACCAAAAAGGGCTTGCGTCTCTTTTTCAAAAATGCCCCTGGAACAAGCTCTATCATTTGAATTTCTTTTCTGTCAAATTGGCACCTGTTATCATATTTTCATTCTGCCCCCTAAGATAGACGCAAAATACTAAAAGTGAGTAGAAACTATTAATTAATCCACATCGGGTCAGGTAATAGAGAAAATTAATAATAAAATAAATGAGAAAATTGCAACCTATCAATATATAGTAGTTTAGATGGAATTTATGTGCATTAATGAGTGCCCAATAGGTACTCATCAGAAAGATCCTTTTTCTAAAAGCATGTGTGATATTTAACTGATGAGAAATAGGGAAGTTTCCTTAAAAAAATTGGTATTGGTGAAAGTTTACTTAATTTAGTGTTTAAATTATATAATTATGTATAATGCCATTAATTTGGTATTCAAATTATTGTATTGTTTACAATTGTTACTGAAATTGATTAATTCTAAACATTACCAAATTATTGTATTGTTAGGGAACTTAATTAATTCTAAACATTTTTCCTTAATTTGGTATTATAGTTAGTAGATAGTCGTACTTATTTCTGTTATGGTTAATAAGTAAAACTAAGGAAATTGATGGTGGTTTCATTTATTACGACGTTTCTAACGTTTGATTGTTCGCTATAAGTTTGGTAAACCTATTTATGGTCTTATTTTATTTTGTAAAATCAAAGGCAACTATGTGGCATGCCATGTTTGAAATTGTCTACTTTTAAACTTTTTTTTTAAAGTTGTATTAGGTAAGGTTAGGACATTTAAATAGATTATCATATGATAGGTGGACACTTTCTAATATTAAGTAATGTATTTACGTTAGTATCTATTCCATAGGTTTAAAAGTAATTATAATGATTAAATTAAATCAATTTTGTTAAAAAAGAGAATGGAGAATAAGATGCTTAAATGAGAGAATTGACCTGAAAATCCCTCGTACAATACATACATACATACATATTATTGAGTTTGACTCATAGTGATCATTTATCAAAGAATGACTCTGGTTATCAATTGATTGAACAATCTGGAGCAATTTACTTAAAATACGTAGTTGACATTCATAAAAAGTATTTAATGAATTATGGGTATATATTGAATCCTGGGTCAAAATCAATACTAAGAGCTATCAAAATACTAAGATTTATATATGTGGATAATTTCAAAAACTTCCCCTGATGTTTTTGACAATTACACATAAATACCCTCTAATACAAAAAAATTATACTACCCTCATTTCCTATCTGGCTTCAATCAATTGCAATTCAAATACTTCCTATTCGGTTTCATTGTGCTCCGATTAAAAGAATAAAGGAAACCATGTTTTCTATTTTCTTCTAATTAAAACATCAATTACCTTCTTTTATCCAAACATGAATATGTAGACATGCACTTGAGCGCTTCTCTTTAACTTTTTTTTTATATATAAATCCTGAAATTTAATTCGTGTAAAGAAAAGAAGAAGAAGTAGTGTCTTTTGCATAATCATTCACTCATTTTCCAGATTACATCATTCATCAATGCCAGGACAATTATTATTTTTTCCTGGTCCTCCAAAGAAAATGGTATCTCCCCAATTATATTTCTTTACAAGCACTGCATTGTAGCCATTTGGATTGTCGACGCGAACTTTAAAGTTTCCAGCAGGCTTCAAATTGTTTGATTCATCGATTACTTGAAGGGCTCTGATAAGACTTGATCCTCCAAATTTTTCTTGAGCAAAATGGCCACTACCCATTTGAGTTGTAGTGTGCTGCCCATCTATAATTGCAGAGCTTAGCACCTCTCCACCCCATCCGATCACTGAAGCACTTTCAGCCAGGTCTGAGAATATGGGAGGCAGGCCAGTAACCAATTATTTTATCGGCCGTTTTCCATGCTAGCCCCCAAACATCTTGTTTTGGGTCCTAAAGAAATTTAGTTTACCCACTAGATCAAATTTTCAAGTACGAGGAAAAAGCAATTAGGAGCAAAGGAAGAAGCAAGAATC